TCTATGTAGCTTTGCACCTTTCCTGGAACTCACTTGGTAGCCCAGGCTGGCCTCGAACTCACAGAGATCCACCTGGCTCTGCCTCCCGAGTGCTGGGAATAAAGGCGTGTGCCACCACCGCCCGGCAATATTTCTGCATTTTCTACAATAAAAAATAGATCACTTTAGTCATAAGAAAGTTAGTTTTTAAACTAAGAAAGCTTAGGGGCCAGAAAAATGACTTAGCAGTTAAGAGTGGTTTTTGGGGGGTTTTTTGTTTTTGTTTTTGTTTGTTTGTTTGTTGTTGAGGTTTTGTTTTGTTTTGTTTTGTTGTTTTTTGGGTTTTTTTTCCGAGACAGGGTTTCTCTGTGTAGCTTTGCGCCTTTCCTGGGACTCACTTGGTAGCCCAGGCTGGCCTGGAACTCACAGAGATTCACCTGGCGCTGCCTCCCAAGTTCTGGGATTAAAGGCATGTGCCACCACCACCCGGTTTGAGTGGTTATTTTATAACTGCTTGTAATTCTAGTTCTATGGGATCCCATGTTTTCATTCAGCCTCCACATATAAGGACACACACACACACACACACACACACACACACACACACACTAGAATAAATAAATCTTTTTTTAAAAAAAGTCTAAACTGAACAAATGAAACTGTCAACTTCCCCTTCTGAATCAACTAAGCAAGGCGCCTATGAACTCAGAGACAGAAGCAGCAAGCACAGAGCCTGCATGGGTCTACACCAGGTCCTCTACCTATGTATTAGAGCTTAGCTTAGCATTTTTATGAGACTCCTGACTGTGAAACAAGTGGGTCTCTGACTCTTGTGCCTGCTCTTGGAACTCTTTTCCTCCTGTCGGGTTGCCATGTCCAACTCAATATGATAGTTTGTTGTTTTGTTTTGCTGATTTTTCAAGGCACAGTTTCTCTGTGTGTAACCCTGGCTGTCTTGAAACTTGCTCTGTAGACCAGGCTGGCCTCAAACCCAGAGATCCACCTGCCTATGCCTCCCAAGTGCTGGGATTAAAGACCTGTGCCACCATCACCTGCCTGCTTGATATGATAGTTTTTGCTTCATCTTATTGTACTTTATTTGGTCATGTCTGGTTGTTATCTCTTAGAAGCCTGTTCTTTCCTAATGAGAGACAGAAAGGGAGTGGATCCAGAGGGGAGAAGAGGTGAGAAGGAACTGGGAGGAGTAGAGGGGGGGGAACTATAATCAGCATGTATTGTATGAGAAAAGAATCTATTTTCAATAAAAGAAAAAAGAAACTGTCACCTTTCATGGTCACATTTTCATACTCAGAGCTGCATTTGTTGCTTGGTTTGCATATTTAGTTAATAAACACTGATTTTACCACTCATCATGTTTCTGGTCTCTGAGCTACTAGAATATTTTTCACTCGAAGCTTAAAATATATGAATAGGGAAATGTTTCCAGGTAGTATTAATTTTTTTAAGTTTTCAAAATGTGGTTGTAAATTATGTAAATGAGGATTACAAAGAAAAATTTTTTTTAAAAATTGGACTTCAGGATGTCCCAAAGCCGAGTATGTATTTGTAGCCCCTCAACCAAGCATAGCAGCCCCCCACACAATGTCCACCATTGCATGAGTGGCCACATTGACTATTCCAGACACTGTTCAAAGCCTGAGTCTAATTTGTTTTCATTGCAAGCTTTGCTATGTGAGAAACAGAACTCAACAAAATGTTTACAACTTTGTACAGTTAGCTAAAAAATTCTGAGTCAAGTTCAATTTCCCTACTTAAGGTGAGAGAATAACTACATTGTTTAAAAATTAGGGTCAATGCTCATGAGAGAAAAATTAGTATACTCCAATGACATCTCACTGGGTATATTAACCACATTTCAGGTTAATTTGCAGGAGTAGTTGGCAAACACAAAGCAAACTCAATGGTCTTCTGTAGACCTTTGTCCCATATTGCTTTGTTTTGGCATTTTTTTTGTCTTATTGTTCTTTTGTTCATATATTTTGGGTTGTTTTGAGGTTTTTTGTGTGTTTCTTGTGGTTTTGTTTCTTTAAAACAATTTTTTAAAAGGGTGTGGAGTTGGGAGGGAGGGGAGTTAGGATCTGAGAGCAGTTGGGGGAAGGGAAAACATGACTAGAATTTATTACATGAAAAAATTTTTCAATTAAAAAAAGCATTTCAAAAAAATTAGAATCAGCTTTATGATTTCTACAAGATGTGATTTTAAGGACTTAGAATAAATATTTAAACAATCAAAAAAATCTCAATTTTTGCTTGAAAAGGAAATAATGTCAGAACACATGATATATATTTATGAAAATGTCATAATGACCAAAATACCTTGAAATTACCAAAGAATTAATTAAAACGTTAGTATAAGAAAATACATAATGAAAAAATCATCATTTTATGTAATAAATACACACTAATTAAAAGAACATTTAAAAGGCAAAAATGCTAAGAAGTGTACACACTGAGTGCTAATTAATTTTGAACAGAAGAATCTCAAAAGAGACAGAAAAGTATATATGGAAGAGAGAGTCAAGAACAAGCATACTGCTTAGGTGAGCTCAGGTCACCAGCCCTCCTAAATTGTGCTGGCTGCAAAGCTATTCATAATTATGCGTATTTCCTAAGTCTGTAGACTTCAAAACTCACAGCCATTTTTCTATCAACAAAACTTCTGGATTAGTGTCTCCAAGTTTTGGGTGGTACTCTTAGCTTGCTGAGCAGGGAGAACTTCAGTGAGAGAGCTGAACCAAATAATGTCCCCCTCATCTAAGCCCCTGAATGTACAGCGTAACAGACTTGATTTTATTTTGGTTTGATTTATACTGCCAAGTGATGGGGCTAGGTGAGACCAAAACAAAGAGAATCTCCAGTCTCACAGACTGACACTGTAAGGAAGACGGAGAGATGGTTATACAATTCACTACAGTCTCCTCTTTTTAATGTTTTCTGTTTTATTTTAATTTTTAAGTATGTGGATGTGTGTTCATGCATATGTGTGAGTTTCCAAGGAGGCCAGAGGCATCTGATTCCCTGGAGTTGGGTTGCAGGTAGCTGTAAATTCATTGACATGTGTGCTGGGAGTCAAACTCAGGTCATCTGCAAGAGCAGTACCCGGCCTGACTGTGGTTACAAAGAGACTGGATTAGTGGGTCCTCATGCAAGGGAGGGATTTGCTTTGTGCTGGCGGTGGAAGCCAGGGTTTCATTCATGCTAAGCAAGCACTCTGCTGCCAAGCTACATAACCAACCTATGAATTCTTAAGAGAATAAAATATGTCCCCTCTTAATATAGAAGAAATTGGGTCATTTAAACTGTTTCATGTGAAGATGAGCATACTTTGTGTTTCTCTGAACCTGTAAACTTTGGACTCTTGTAGGTGCTGACTGCCTGATGGGAGTATATTTATTTGTGATCGGGGCCTTTGACCTCAAGTTTCGGGGAGAGTACAACAAACACGCACAGCCATGGATGGAGAGTGTTCATTGTCAGCTGACTGGGTCTTTGGCCATTCTGTCCACAGAAGTATCCGTTTTACTTCTAACATTCCTAACGTTGGAGAAATACATCTGCATTGTGTATCCTTTTCGGTGTTTAAGACCTCGAAAAGGCAGGACAATCACCGTTCTGATTTTCATTTGGATTATTGGATTCATAGTGGCTTTTGCTCCACTCAGCAATAAGGAATTTTTTAAAGACTATTATGGCACCAATGGAGTGTGCTTTCCTCTTCATTCAGAAGATTCGGGAAGTACTGGAGCCCAGATTTATTCCGTGGTGATTTTTCTTGGTAAGAAACCATACATTGCCAACCTTTGTATATTCCAACTCTTGCCAGAGTCAGTCACAGTAGGAAACTCATTTATGCCTTCTATTGTTTATAAACTTTTGTCCTTCTAACCTGTGGCTGTAGGGATGAATGTAATCAGAATACTCAAGGAGAATTCTTTTCCCTCAAATGACATTTTTGTCATATAAATTCCAATCTGATGCATTCTTTAAAGGACAGCAAATGATTATATTTCACATACTTACCCCAATAATATAAACATAAAGATATTTGCTATTGTTTCTATTCCTGTGTACAGGCATACATAACTTCGGCTTCAGCATATATGTGAAACTATTCTAAAGCAAAAAAATGAAAATATTCTCAAACTTCAGCACCAGGTTTTTAGAATATGAGAAGATATCATTAATATTAGAGAGCAAATGATCCAATGTACTTGTCAAATTTATTTAATATGCTAAATTAAAATTAAACATGTCATTTTCTGTTACTTCAACAGTATCTCTGAGTCAGAAGAATTGATGACTTCTGTGTACTCTAGTAATTCTGAAAAGCAGAAACGTAAGAAAAAAAAGACTGTATTAAAAGTTAGGCATAAAGGTATACATTTGGGTTTTTGTTGGTGGTGGTATCTTTTATTTTTTATTGAAAACAGATATTTTATATCATATATTCTGATCTGGTATCCTTCCTCCAGCTTCTCTTCCCTCCCTACCTACACAAACCCCAACCCTTTCTTGCTCTTTCCTTAGAAAACAGATATTAAATACTAATAATAATAACACTGAATAAAAACAAACCGGAATAGGAGAAATAAGTGAAGAGGAAAAAAAGCCAAAGAAAATGTACACACGCCTTTAATCCCAGCACTCAGGAGGAGGAGGCATGTGGATCTCTGAGTTCAGGCCTAGGCTACAGAGCGAGTTCCAGGACAGCCAGAATACAATGGAAAACCCTGTCTTGAAAACACACCAGAAAAAAGAAAGAAAGGAAGGAAGGAAGGAAAGAAGGAAGGAAGGAAGGAAGGAAGGAAGGAAGGAAGGAAGGAAGGAAGGAAAGAAAGAAAGAAAGAAAGAAAGAAAGAAAGAGAGAGAGAAAGAGAGAAAGAGAGAAAGAGAGAAAGAGAGAAAGAGAGAAAGAGAGAAAGAGAGAAAGAGAGAAAGAAAGAAAAGTAAAATGTACAAGAATCACCTACAGATGTAGGGACACCCATATTCACACACAGAGAAATCCCATAAAAACACAAATCTAGAAACCATAATATACATAAGCAAAAGACCTATAAGATGAAAAATAAAAAAGCCCAGATAAAGTATTGTGAGACAAAAATAAAATAATAAAAAATAAAAACTCCAAAAGATACCATTAAGTTCATTTTGTATTGGCCATCTACTGCTGGACATGGAGCTTGGCCTTAAGTATGGTTTGTAACCTCAGTGAGACTTTGTTGGAAAAAATTAATTTTTTCTTTGAGAGCGGTTATCATTAGCTTCTGGGTTAGGGATGGGGGCTTGTGTCTACTTCCCCTCTCAGCACTAGGACCCCATCTGACTTACACCAGTATGGGCCCTGTACATGCACGCTGTCACAATCTCTGTGAGTTCATACGTATGCAGCCCTGTTGTGTCTAGAAGGCCTTGTTTCCTTGGGTGTCTTCCATCCCCACTGGCTATTACAATCTTCCCACCTCCACTTCCACAGTTTCCTGTGCCCCAAGGAAATAAATTTGATGGAGACATGCATTAGACCTGAGTGTTCACAGGTCTCTCACTCTCTGCACATTGTCCACTTGTGAGTCTCTGTATTTGCTCCCATCTACTGCAAGAAGCAGCTTCCCTGATGATGGCTGAGCAAGACGCTGGTCTATGACTATGATAGAATGTCATTGGAAGACGTTTGATTGCTACATTTTTTAATAGCAGTATTTGGTTTTCCCGTAAGTCTCTGGCCTGTGTGGTCTCAGGTCCTTGGCCACCCGAGCAGTGTTGGGCGTGGGTTCCATCTCACAGAGTTGGCCTCTTATCGTATAGTTATTGGTCACTCTCGTAATGTTTGCGCCACTATTGCCCCGGAGTATCTTGCAGGCAGGTCACCATTGTAGGTCGTAAGGTTTGTAGCTTGATTGGTGTTTACCTTTCTCCTCTGCTAGTGTGCTGAGTGACTTCCGGTACCACAAGCACTAGCCAGTAGGAGGTGACGGCTCTAGGTAGGCACCACCAGCATGATTTCTCTGTGTTCAAGGAGATATGTAAGTGTAGTCTTCAGTGACAGGGCCTTCCCATCAGTTTAGGGAGAGCCACCAGGAGCCTTGGCAATCTCCTGGGTTGTTCCGGCTTTCCATGGAGCTCCTTTGACCAACAACTCAACTAGATGTATCCCATTCTTGGCACTGGAGGTTTCATTTGGTAGTGAGAGATGTCCAGTTGGGGTTTTCTCTCCCCCATTTTTTGGTGAGTCCATTTAGATTTCTTTCATAATATGTATGTATTTTTTAAATCTTCTACTGTAGTGGGTTTTCCATATGACCCACAACTGGCCCTTAGTTTTAGGTGTCCCTCCATGTATTCTCTCCCTTACCCACTTTCCTCTCTGCTCCTCCCCCATTGGATCCTCCCATTCTTTTTCCCACCCACACCTGTCAATCCGTAACTATCTACTTCCCCTTCATAGGGAGATTCTCCCCGTCCCTCCAGTATCTTACTCTATAGAAACCCTCTGTGCTTATATAGGCTGTAGCCTGCTGATCAAGGACTTAACAGCTAACATCCCATATAAGTGAATACCATATTCATCTTTCTGTCTGGGATACCTCACTCAGAATGATTTTTTTTTTCTAGCTCCATTCATTTACTTGTGGATTTCATGACCTTGTGGAAGTTTTTTAATGGCTCCATAATATTCTATTGTATAAATGTATCACATGGTCTTTATGCACTCATCTGTTGGTGGACATTTAGGCTGTTTCCAATTTCTGGCTTTTATAAGTACAGTGGCACTAAACATGACTGAGAAAGTGTCTCTGTGGTGGTAGAGTCCTTTGGTGTAGCTGGATCTTGAGACAGGTCTATTCATAGCATCCTGAGGGACGGCCATACCAATATCCATGGTGGCTGTACAAGTTTGCACTTCCACCAGCAGTCGATAAAATTTCCTCTTATCCCACATCCTTGCCAGCATGAGTTATCATTTGTTTTGTTGATCTTGGCTATTCCAACTGGTATAAGATGAAATTCGAAAGGAGTTTTGATTTGCATTTCCCTGATGACTAAGGATGGTGAACATTCCTCTAAATGTTTCTGAACCATTTGTGTTTCCTCTTTTGAGAATTGTCTTTATAGATCTGTACCCCACTTTTAATTGGGTTATTTTCTTGATGTCCGGTTTTTTTTTTCTTTTTTCTTTTTCTTTTTTTTTTTTTTTTTTTTTTTTTTTT